AAGGTGGTCCCTATTTTTTTTCTACATGCTTTCAAACTGCTAGGTTGGCAGAAGCTGGGAAAAGTAACGGGAGCTCATTCGGTTATGTGGTGCTAGGGATTCGAACTGCCAAACTTCCAACCTTTCAAGTGATGACAAGCTCAGCATTTTAGCCACTGAGCCGCCACGTCCCTACAGGAGGATACATGACCCTATATATGACTTTCAGGTTTAGTGGGGAATATCCTGCAATATGATGGACATACTGCCCCCTGGAGGTTTTGTGAAGTATTTGCAATAACCAAGTGAGCAACCAAGGCGTTGTATGTCCTTTATGGATCGCTTCTAAGCAAGATGGGTAAATATAAGTCCAATAAATGATGCATGCATTGCTTTATTTTCCACAGTTGAGCTTTCAGTACCTCAAAGAGCCACCAGGGTGTGCTGTGTGCTGTACGACACTACCAAAAAATCCATTACTTTGAGCTATGGAGTCCTCAATACAATACCCATATTGCACTGCCCCGTTGGCTCACTGGGGTATTCCAGACCCTGGGTGGGGAAAATAGGGCAATATGTCAAAAGTACAGAATAAGCTGACTTCCCTGATGGTTCCCGTTCACACAATCCAGGTTCCAAAGAGGAAAATAGGGCAATAGATCGTATTTATTTTATGAAATGGAAGGTTGTGTTTAATTCTGGCATATGCCGCCCCTGGTGGCTCATAGGTGTAACTGCAGGCTCAATGGGGAATCTAATGCAAACGCCTATATCGTGGGCAAAAAAGGATGAAAGAATATATGTTGTACGTTCATCGACTTGAGCTGTTTAAAAATAATAATAAAATTGAGATTAAAAATTAAATAAAGTCAGGGCCGCCTCGGCGTTCGGTCACCGGCTTGGGTTTTAGTGAGGGAAATAGGAAAAATGCATCGTTCTGCCCCTGGTGGCTGATGGAGGTACTGCAGAGGCCTTTGGTTTTAGTGAGGAAAATAGGAAAAATGCATCGTTCTGCCTAGTGGCTGACGGAGGTACTGCAGAGGCACAACTCGGCCTATAGGCCAAAGTCATGGCATCCATAAAGCATCACTGGGTACGGCTTGGTCCGTAGGGAAAACGCCCATCTATCTTGGAGGACCAGCTGCTCTCTATGATCCTAGACCTCTCCTCTTTCTCTCCCTCCCCCACGAGTTCTAAGTAGGTTTTCAAACTGCCGGGGGCGTAGCCAGGAAAGGAAGAGGGCGTGGCCGCGCACCCGGAAGCCTGGACGCACTGGCGCTACGAAAGCGAAAGTGAAAGCGTCCTTAGCCGCCGACGCCGCTATGAAATCCGGCTTGGCGGCTCGGAAACGGCGGTCGCGGGCCGAAGAGGGCGACGCGGCCGCCAAGAGGCTCTCCGGGCCCCGCGCCGGGTGAGTAGCCCCCCTTGCCCGGTCCTTAGGCCTTTGGATAGGCCGGAGCCTCCGACACAGTACGCCTGCCCCAGGGGTCTTGGCGTTGCCAGGGGATAGGGGGAGCTGACTGGGGAATTCTGGGAGTTGAAGTCCACACGTCTTCCCCTTGCCAGGGTTGGAAACATTGTTCTAGTTAGTAGAAGAAAGGAAGTTCAGAATTTCTGGACAATGACAACCTGCAGGTCTCCAGTTCTAATCAACCCCTTACTTTGCATAATCATAGATTAGGATTAATAATCGTAGATTATAACTAATTCCCACAACACTATCTATTTACTATTTACTAAGAACTGTATTGCCTATCTCCTCCCACTTATGACTATAGCCATGTTGCTTGTATGTTTACAATTTATATTGTTCTTTTGTTTTGCTAGTATGATTTGATTGCTTATTTAGTATCCTATAACTATCACTGTGTTGTATCTTAGGATTCTTGATGAATTTATTTTTCTTTTATGTACACTGAGAGCATCTGCACCAAAGACAAATTCCTTGTGTGTCCAATAAAGAATTCTATTCCATTCCATTTTGTATTCCATTTTATATTCCATTCCATTCTATTCTTTTTTTTTCTTGAAGGAAGTGCAGTTGTTTGTGCAAAAGATACTAAGCAAAAATTAAGCAAGCTAAAAGGTTGTATTGTAGACAATAGGTACTTTTCTAGGTGTTAAGACCTACAACAATCCTGTTTGGTCTTACCTTTTTATAGAAGGCCGATGAACATGAAGGTCTGTGGAGATTCTCTGTCATACAGATCATGGGGTTGTCCCAAACGTGCTTTTTCAGGAGGCAACTGGACTTTCTGCTTTTTCTTTGACGACGTTTCACTCCTCATCCAAGAAGCTTTTTCAGCTCTGATTGGATGGTGGGGAATGGAAGGATTTATACTCCTTGCTGGCAGCTGGTCACTTGCATCCTTTTAGAGCAGTGGTTCCCAACCTCTTTTTTTTTTGGCCATGCCCTACCTAAGCATCTCTAAAATCCTGATGCCCCCCCCCCCCCACATATAATTCTTACTTTACTCAAAAAGTGAACTCTATTCACAAGGAGGAAACTTGAAAGGCCATTCACTTGGTTTAAACGAGGTTCAAATTGCCCCCATTAAAAATCAAATTGCCCCCCTGTGGGATGTGGGCCCCACGTTGGGAGCCACTGGGTTAGAGAGTTGTGAAGGTCACCTGGAGGTTTATCTGTGTCATCAGGGACATCTGAGTGGTGCAAATGGGTGTGGAGCCTTCTTGGAACTGCTGAAAAGACTTGTGTTGTCAATTGGAGATAGATGATTAGATCCCACAGATTAGGCCTCCTCTGAATTCCATCCGCCGGCCAATGCCGGCTGGCGACTACCCGGAGGAGAGCCT